GTGCAACGTCCGACCCACGGTTCATTGTCGACACATTGGGAGTATTGGGACCACGGTTCGATCCCATTATATACGATTTCATTCAATATCATCTCACGCTTCATGTATCAAACTGTCAATGTAATGACAGGTTTCCGTAATATAATTTAGCAGTGAAAGACTGCGACCGTTTCTTGTTATTGCGTCCCTATTTCTAATCCTGTCGTTATTGTAAGCTATAGTATGTTATTGCAGCTTATAAATTGATTCTATTAGGTACTTGAATGGCGTAGTTGTATCTATGAATTGGCTGTGTATTATTTTAATTATATACGTGTATAGGAATGCTAAGGAATATACAATTATAGTTAATTTACTTAGTTTCACTATAATTAGGTACAAAGATATTTTAATTATTGAATATTCCATGTTAAAAAAAAACTGGTAAATTGTTTTTGCATTATTTAATTTCATTTAATGTTATATTTAAATTAAAATATTAAGGAATAAGGAACGAAAAATATCCCATGTGTTCCTGTGGGAATTTTATAATCTCCTTTCTTAATATGTTGTTTAAAATTTATAGCCTTAGTAGTTTAGGCTTTGCAATTGATAAATCAGTCAATCGGGACAGTCCGCTTTTTATATACTTGTAAAGATTTACGACTCACATGGGCGACACTAATGTGTCTATTTTTTAATTTATTGCTTTACATTTAGCCGGTAGAACAAGTTTAACAGAATATAGAATATAAATGTAACAAATTTTTTGTCTACATCTTTAGAAAGATCTAGATTATTAAACTGCAAATAAATACCTACCTATCTATATAAATAAGATCATAGCTTAGGTCAATGCCGGCGGAAGCCGCACGCTACTCAAAGATCGCTATAACGGCACAACGACTTCGGACAGTGTGAAATACAAACAAATTGACTAAATCTATATAATCAATACCATGTTTAACACGACAGATCGTAAGGTGTTAAAATATCTGATATGTCACCCAACTGAAAAACCATATTTGTACCATCAAATAACATTAGTTTTGTAATTAAGATTGTTACAAACAACATATATTACAGGTAATTCATATATTGTTTTCATCATAGTAACTCTTTTATATTGATGCTTATTTACGTGTATGCGATATTTCATATTATAGATTATGGTATGTGCTATGGGTCATACTGAATACTTTTTTTTATATTTATTATTGAGTGTATATATATAAAGATTAGTTCCATTAAATCGAATATCGGGATTTATTATGTTCACGTCACCTATATGAATATATGTAATTAAAATATTGATAATATAGTAATCATATACCCACTTGAACTTTAGCATAAATCACAGAAGGTTAAACCTTTCATTATGTATACATTTTTAACATTTATTTTTATCATTTTGTGTGCTGTTTATGTATTACTGAATAATCAACAAATTTTAAATTTATAATAATTACTATATTAATTCAAATACATATATTGAATTTATAATACTATAAGGCTTAAATATCATAGTATGATGAAATATCAGTTTACTTTCAAATTAGTACATACTAAAAATGATGTGAGCAACAGTGCTCACCCCTAAATGTTCTCTGAAAGATTTATTTAAAATATTATTACTTTGTTATCATGTAGCTTTACAGTGAATGTAGATACATAACAGAGAAGGTTAGTAAATACGTAGAGATATATAGGCGTCTTTTAAGTAAAAATATTAACACACTTTGTAATAAAACCTTGTTAAATGTTGAAGTGTGTATGTGTCTTTATTTATATTTTAAAACTGGAAGTGAAACGTTATACACCAAATTTCAAACAAAACAATTGTCCTTTAGACCTCGACCATTAACAAGAGAAAACTAAGGACTGGCTGCTTGGACTTATGACTGTTGCCTTACTAATAAAATAATGATACTATAAAAGTAAAGTACAAATTCCTAACAGTCATATTTTACGTTGACAGTTCTAGATTTGTAGTAAAAAATCATCTTATATATTACACATTTTGTAAATTGATTTTATAATGGAAAATCCCGTTATTCTGACTCCCCTGTTACATAATATAATACAAGTCTTTGGTGAGAAAATTGCATACTAATGTAACAGTTTAATAATTCCAAAATGAGAAATAATACATCTATATCGTTAAATACATTTAACAATTCGGTAAATATCACCAAAATCTTCCGGTCGTTTACATTATTCATTAGCACTTAACTCGGGCCGAGATTGTTCGTGGCCTTGCTTGTCCGAAAATAATTGTGGCCGTCTTTCAGCCATTGTTGTGACTAAATATTCATGATCCGTGGAAATCGTTATCATTGTGTTAGATAATTGACGCGGCACGTTACCTTGACAAACCATCCTTACAAAGCTCTAAGCTTTATTACATATCGAATATAAACACATAGTGTGATATTTGTGTGGATAATTTTCTTTTTTGTTTAGTTTTTTTACACTACATCATTGCTATTTAGCCGGCTAGACTATGCAAATCTGTCATGCCACGGTTTTAAATCACTTTTGAAATTTTTGTCATCTTTTTCAGTATTCGAAATATTTTATCTCCTTATAAGCGTGAATAACCATATATTTATATAAAAGTAGAGTATGCATACGGTGTCATACCGTATTTATATAAAAGTAGAGTATGCATACGGTATGACGTAGGTACTACTCGTAATGGCAAGTTTATGTTATGATTTATACTTGATAACACGTCCTGTGGAAATATTCTGTTCATAATAATTCTAATCGTGTCTCGATACCTGACGTGATCAATTTATGGTCTGAAATGTGACTATTGGATTAAATTGATCAAAGAACAAACAATCATTATTTTAGGCCCTCAATACTACATTTTAGAGTAGTTAATACAAAATCAATTGCGTCTAATTTCTTTTTATTTTCAAATCAGATACTTCATCTGAGTTGAGTCATGAACGCAATCGGTTTTTCTCGACATCACGTGTGCCGCACTTTGCCGGCGAGACTGTGATTGGGTGCTTTTTTATCGTGGTTTTGTTTCGCTTCAGTCGGCAAGCGGGGTCATTAGCTACTATATTTTGTTGTGCTTCCATTTTATTTGCATCGTTGCACATTACAAGCTCTTAAACCCTTAATTATTGCCCGTAATAACACCTGCGTAATATACGATTGTAGGATACAATTAAATTTAAAAATTTATTGTCTAGTTTAGTCGTAATTTTGCCTGCCGATTTTAATAGCAACAATCAATTAAGTGTTTACAGTGAAAAATATAAATCATAACAAATATTTGAAAGTAAAGTTTTACCGTGATCTTGATTTAAAAGGCATTATTGGTAGATATTATGAAACAGCTCCGACAATACGGGAACACAATCTGTGTCTCAAATATCACCACTGCTTATCTGAATAATAACTTCATTGAGTATGTATGTATTTCATTTCCTCTCATTGTAATCGTATCTTACGGAATCCAGTATGCTTGTGGTGGCTTCGCTCGAAGTCACATTGATCAAGAATCGATTAATCACGCATTAGCCCCGCCTGCTGTACGTTACACGGTAAACATTTGAGAAGAATTACCTTAGATAATTAATTAGGAAATGTCACAGTGTTGACGTCTCCACAAAAGCTGTTTATCATGTTTGCTGTTTTTCAATAAGCAAATGTTAATTTCTCTAATAGATAAATACTTCTTATGTGTGATAGAATACCTGTTACTATTTAAAATTACTGATTGAATAGACTTATTACAAAATATATTTATAATAAGAGGATAAGAGTTGAAAATTGAGCGATATCCAATTTAATATATTTTATTGAAGACTTTATTTATTGCGTTCTTTGCTACTAGTAATATAATAGTATCCAATGTTATGTACTGTTTCTAGAATATTATTTAATCTTAATAAATGTCAAAAGTAGGAAATCGAACACGTTATTGGCAGCTAAAATTTATGATAAGTAGTAAAAAACTTAAGGATAAGTTAACAATTTAATAACAGCTTGATATAAGTTGTATTAATAGATGTATACATATTTTCCCATCGTTATGTTCTACGAAGATTAATTACGAGATCTATGCGATTATCATAACTTAAAACTTGACTATCTTAAGTTGGAATTATTTTATATTGTAATATAAAAACGAGTTATTTATTTAATTGTTTTAGGATGTGCGTCTATCGGGCTTCAGTTTTTTTAAAAGTAATTATTTTCTTATTAGTTTATTAGGATGTATAGTATACGGTATAAAAAGTTGAAAGGGCAGCGTTGGTTCCTTAATAGGCATAAATGAAATTTAAAAATGTTTGAATATTTCATTTTTAGAAATAATGTTAGCGCCAATGTAGATTGAAAAGTATGAAATATTTAAAGAATATTTTCATATTTATATCTATGTTTAAAATAGTGTCTTTAAATTGTTATATATATTCGTTCTGCTACATTACATGGCTAAATAAGCCATGTAATTACTGAAATATTCGGTTTATAATTAGTTTAAAAAATTTACCTACATATACTGAATTGTAATTATATGCATTATGAATATAGAATTTACAACTTTATTTTGTAAACACGTATTGTAACCATTGAGATGTAAGTGCAAATTACTGATCTCCTGTGATGGCTGCCTACGCAGTTAATGTGCGTTGTCTGTCCAATGAACCACGACTCATGGTCACCCTACTAAGAAGTTTTTAAATTATTTTTTTATGCTATGGTGGTTGCTGCGCGAATGGCTAGTGCTAATGTATAGACACTTCTAATTTATAGGACCTGTATAATTTAATCAAGATTTTTTTGAAAAAATAATTAACTTATTGCATATATTTCTTCTTTATTTAAAATCACGATTAGGCATTATGAAAAATACTACTGCATTGCGAGATTTAATTTTTATAACGAAAAATGTTACTATATGTAAGATATTATGTTTAAATTAAACTTTATAGATTTTCTATTTATTTGTCTCTATTAGATACTGAATTACACACTGTAAATTATTTTATACTTACTTGTATAAGTCCTGTGACGTAAGAAGCTACAACCAATCGTAACCACAAACACAACTATAAAAAAATAGTATTCCAACTTTGAATTTTAGATTGTGCGACCGCTCTGACTGCCGGCAATGTATTGGTCGTGAATTGATAATGCTGATGCTTATATACGCCGCATTGACAGACAGTGCATATTCGCTGCGTATGACCATCTCCGCGATTCGAAGCTTTAATATTTCCTTAGCCATGGTATTATATGAATTTAAAAATATAAGAATTTTAAGAATAGAACTTATGTTATGCCAGTGTCTAAAACATTGGCTAGCAATTTAAATACAACAGAAAATATTTTAATTCCTTTTTTAAAGGTATATTTGAAATAAGAATTAAAAATAAGTAATATATAAGTGTGTAAATAATATTGTAACGCTAAAGATGTCGACGTCAACTACAAAGGTCTTACTAATTGATAAAATTTTGTTTTTTCGGTATCGCGAAATATGTATTTATCAATATATAAAGAGAAAACAGACAGCATAGTGTCGATAGATGAAAAAGTGAAGCGAGCTCGACCCAAAACCAAGTTAATTTAGCCACAGATAAGATAAAATATTTAGCTAGTTAACATGGTTTTTGTTGTAAATATATGTCACATTGTTTTCATTCATAATTTACAAGATTACGCGCATTTTTTTTTACAATAATTAATGACTTGTAATTACAGATTCAATATTAAAAAATTTACCTGTATATGGAGCAGTTGAATAGAAATACTATCTTCAGGTTATTTATCTATGGTTTTACCTTCTATTTTTAAACTTGGCCATTACCATACATAATGTGAAAGTAACATAAGTTCGGAAATTCGAGTCGTATATCATTCTAAGTAATGTTGCATATTATCACTTGGGCCATGTTAGACCATAAAAAGCGACCCATCGCTCGGACCAGAGAGCAAGCATACCATAAATTAAGGGACCTTTAATTTTACGTTAAGTTTATTATGTGATATTACAAAATCTGGTGATAGTTCTTAAATGCATTTTGTATTTATAAACGAGCAATGTTTGATAGTTATTTTTAAATATTATCTTTAATATTTTTAATCAAAGTGTGTTTAGCGTACAACAGTATAATAATTGTATTTTTGTCGAAAAGTAGTTACATAAGCGATATGTTAAATATCATTGATAAATTTTCCAACGCCTCGCCTCAAAATAAGTATAGCTAACTTGACGAAAATACATTTTATTCTATACTTCTTACATAACTCTATGTCTTCTTTTAACTTCTCGTGAATACGTTATACGTAGTTACTGTCTTCTTTTTATTAAAAAAAACTAAATTAAATTTTATAAGCAGCAGATCTATCAAGGAACATAAAATAATGGTCTTGATGTTATTCTACAGATAAGTATGAAATATAATTAATTTTCATTAGTGTGAATATTTATTTTATATCTTATATATATCGTAATGTCATATCTTTGCATCTAATTAAAACTAAGTACTAGTTTTTATTAAGTCTATAACTACCAGAACTATTAGTAGTTAAAAAATGGATTAGTCAGTATAAACCTGTACAAATAAATGAAATTAAAGTGTCTGCTTGTAATTTCAAATTAACAGCTTTCAATAAATACATGAAATTGTATATACGGTACTTATAAAAAATACAATTTAAGAAAATTTTGTCTGTCGTTTGCTCTTGCTTGCTTGCTGCTAACGACTAGACCGATTTTAACGAGATTTTACTAGATTAGTTTGTTAGTATTATAAGTTAGGAGTAGGCTACATCTATTTTAGAACTTTTGATTATTAAAAATAATTTTTATTTATTACCATGTAGATTTACAGAGGCACTTTTGTACAAAAGTTGTCATCTTTTTAGTACCTCGTGTCAGACGAATTTTATGCGCCGAACAGCTTGCTCGAAGCAAGCACGGTCGAAGGTGAGATATGGTAGTGAAATGACGTGATACGGAGGATGCAGTGCTCTTTCGTTTTTATTGAATATTTAAACTATTGAATAGAAATACCAATATTATAAGCCATTAATATAACTTTTTATACTAAGCACCTAACATGTTTACATTTTTTGGTATACTTAATGCTTTTCTTATGTTTGCACTGTACATATCTTACCCAGTCCTATGTGGTAGATCCAAGAAAGTTTTATTAGTACATCAACTCTATATAAATTTTATACGAAAATATATGTAACGAAAATGCATGGGTTTTCATGTGCAATATTTATGATAATGTGTATATTTAAAACAAATAAAAAAAACTATATAAATATATAATGTAAAAAATACTGACACCATTCTATTTAAATTATTACATTATCGTATATGTTGCAGTCATAAAAATCGCCAATGGCATTGTTCAATAATATAGCTTGTTATTGCACACTTCAATTATTATGATAAATCTCTCTTACGTTACGCCTACGTAGCGTCTGTTTGTCCTGAAATAAATTATACAAAATTAACGTTTTCCTGACATCTTACGATTGTCATTTTAACACGTATTGTTACTGACTTTGATGCACCGTTAACGAAAAATTAAATAGATTTATCATACTAAACAACTCTAGTAATTTACATTGTTACATTTGTGTTACAAAATATTAAATAAGTGTTGACTATAACTTTTTTAAATCCCATCACATCAAGTTTACACGTAACTACATACTGGACTCTTTTATTTTTATTATAAGTTAAGTTGCTAAAAAAAACAAAAGTCGTATCGTGATATCGTTAGATTTTCACCGATATCAAAATATTGCTTACTGGTATTTTGATTTCATGAATACTCCTTGATATAATTATGGGCATATCATCATCATTTTCACTACAACTTCTTCATAACATCAATATAATTGACTGTGCCTCTGACTATTCCCGTTTGTATTTACAGTTTTGAAAATATTCTTTAAAACAATTTGTATTTAAATTTATTAGGATCTAACATTAACACTAATATCTTTCAAAATTTCGATGATCTTGAAAGATATCAGTGTTAATTTGTTTCTGATCTTCCTCGCACAGTATAAGAGTATAAATATGTATTAATTCATTCATAATTTAAGAGCGACGCTCTTGTCGCTTTCCACGATTTTCCATCATGCTCTTTAAATGTTGATACGAAACGACTGCAATTATTTCTTTAATTTGTTTGATGTAGCTGTGCTTTGGTTTTCCCCTCCCCCTCTTTCCTTATATTGTTCCCTCAATAATAATTTTCAGAAACTCATCGTGTATCAAGTGTCCTGACATTTTCCCCCGTTAATTTCTATAGTATTCAATATCTGCCTTTTTTCTTTCACCATGTGTTCTTAATTTCTTACTTGTATATATATATATATATATATATATATATATATATATATATATATATATATATATATATATATATATATATATATATATGTAAGTATATATAATCGTCAGAAATATCGGTATTCAAGAGTTTGCAGCGCATGCAAGGTTGGTATAGTTTTTCTGTAGTAGTTTGTTGGATAGAGAAATATTTTAAACAATACTAGAAATTTATTGTACAACTGTCCTCAGTTTCATTGCGCTCATTAGAGTAACAGTTGACAATAGTTACCTCAATCTTAGTCATTTGTCTAGAAAATCTTCCGTATGCATATGTACATTAAAACACCAATCTCTGCGTGTATTCTTCATACGTTTCAAATAATTTAGGTACTGATTGTCGCAAATATTCTTAAAATTGTAGACTGCTGGTGTGATACCTGTCTGTTCTTTGAATTACCCTTAAATACATATGAACTTATTTCAGATCATCTTTATCTTTATATATGTATAATAAAGTCCTAAAATTCTGACAAGGCAAAAACGGTTTTTTGTATGTTAAGTTTTCAGATAATAATAATTGGAGGTTTATTAATATTTTAGAATATTTTCACAGAGTATATTGTTAAGTAGTGGTCAACATATTAATTATTTTAATTATTTTTTTTCGTACGGCGACTACTATTTTATAATTTTTTACAAAATCATAGTATTGATCATAATAGTCTTATAAATGCTTTATTATTATCGTTCGATAAGCAATAGATGTCGTCTACAAATACTTACATATTATTATGAAGTCGAGGGCATAACTAGTTTATGACTAAATATAGTATGTGCAGTAAGTAACCTCTGGAAGTGGGGTACAAAGGGAAGTCAATAGAAATTAATGAATCAGACAGAGATCAAACTACATACGACCAACCAACTATTCACTACCAAGCCGCCCAGACAGGTCGTTAGCCCTGTTAATCTTATCGTCCTTAAATCGATGATGGTTACGCTTATAAACTTAACCGCCCTATAAATTAGCTTGCAATTTGCATGCATCCCGCAGCGCTCGTGTGCGTTTCATTTATTCATACTTGTATGGACATTGCCATTCGAATTACGTCAATGGTCCATCATACGTAATTATTAAGGTAGGGTTACATTAAAGGAACATAATAACAAGTGTTTGTACATAAAAGTAGATAGGTTTAAACGGAGACAACGATTTAATATGTGCGGACAAAATTGTGTAGGAATGCAGTTTATCCAGAATTTATAGTTAAAGTTAGAATTAAGTTAAGTGTCATATACGTATATACAGACGCCTTATTCTATATATTAAAAATACTTAATTTTTTGGTTCAACTAAACCAGTAAAATAAAGCTGCGTACCTACCTAACTTTGAATAATTTTATAAAAAATGGAACCTCTACTTAACAGAATACAAATGCAATTTTATATAATTTAATAACAATAAGAAATTTGTGTAATTTAATAGAGTTTAACTTACTAAGTCGCATATTTCCTTAACATTTTAACCGTTAAGGTCTAAGCTCACTTTAGCTCTAATCTATGCTCACGAGTCCTGAGAGAAAATCTGCTATTCAATTTAAAATTAGATGGATGTAAAGAAAGAGGACTACTGTAAAAGATGCAAGACGATGTACATAAAAGTGAGTAAGTCTTAGATATTAAGTCAATAGGATCTTTGGAAGAAGAGTACATATTGCACCGACCCTAAATAATTGAATAAAGGCAATGCAACGATGCTATAAGTATATTAAAAAATATATTAAAGCGAATTGGACACGGTCGGGTCGGTACGTCGGAGGCTGTGT